CCCCCCCCCCCCCCCCCCCCCAAGCCCCTCCCAATGTGTGTCACGCTGGCTGATTTTCAGGGTTTATTGTGTGCCTCCAGATCCCTCCTCAGTCTTAGAAATCCTGTTATACAGTTATCGACATAGGCCATGTCGCCATGATAGAAATGTAGTTCCCAGGCTCTAACCGGCAAATAATTGAATATTCCCGGGAAGGGCTTTGTGAAATTTATATCTAAAATTTGATTTAGAAGCAGTTTAGTTTTTTTTTCTCTCCTAAATGAAATCAAACATTTTATCATAAGATTTAACAATATTTGTAGGAGCAAAGTCTGTACACAGCGCATGGAAATTATTTTCTGAGGCATTTATACAAATTATACTCTAACGTTGGAGAGCAGTGTATGTACGTGTGTTTACCTCTGTGTGGGTGTTTTTTTTAATTTTATTTTTTTTTACCTGTGCACCACTCCCGCCCTGTGCAGGTGCTCAACGGCCAGCACCAACTGCCGGATGTATTTCTGAGTCTCCCGCTCTTCCAGACGCTTCTTGTCGTAGATACAGTTCATGAGGTTCCCGCCGGGACACAGCTCCATCACCAGGTAGTAGCTGTTGTCCGTCTCCAGGATGTCCAGCAGCTGTGTGATGTTGGGATGGCGGATCATCTGCTGGATGTGGCCCTCCCTCCGCAGGTTCTTGGTCACATATGAGTCCTTCTTGGCCTTCCGCTTGTCAATTACCTTCACTGCCACCTGGAGAAATTGAGGGACTCATTTTAGACAAAGGACTGACTTGGCAGCTAAAGTTTGGCTCTCGCTCTGTATGATATTGTGAATTATACCCAAGAGAGCACTGCCGAGTCTTCGAGAGAGGTTTTCAGAGAGTTGAAGTGTAACAGGTGACAAGCTGCTCAGTCTCCATTGCAGGGTATACAACTCGACACTGACCTCTCCCTCACAGCTGCTCCCAATGTGGGGCAACCCAGGCGCTATAGGGCCCTGAGGCTGCAGGGGGGAGGTATGTGTGTGTGTGTGAGAGCTGGAGGGGTTACTGAACCATCATAAACTAGGGGAAAAGCAAATGTTCTGATGAGAAGGCGCCAAGGCCAAATGGACAGTTGATATTGCCCCATTCGCAACAGAGTTTAGTCGCAGCTAAACACACATGAGAAGCGACAAATGTAGAGAGGAGGCTGAGGAAGAATAAAGTCGGGCTCTGATGTAGATTTAACACTGAGGAGAACAGATTCACAAATGTTCTGTAAAAAAAAAAAACCGGCATCTCCTTTCTGTGTTTCTCCGCCCCTATTGTGTCATTGGGGAATAAGCTTGCAGTCTCCTCATAAAAGCCACAGAACATGTCCTTTATGACAAACACCTCCCTCTTGAGCTAATTACATTCAATAACGTACCCATCTACTCTATTTCATCCTTTGCCCCGTTTCTCCTTGTATCCCGTCTAGACGGGTTCAAGAGCATGGCTATCATACACAGCAAATCATCTCAAGGAGAGCCCACAGACATGGAAAGGCATGACCAGCAAAACGAATCACCATATCCATTAATGAAATGGTGAGGGCCAACGTGGTTGTGTGTGTGTGTGTGTGTGTGTGTCTTCTCTTTCTTCTGTCCTTCAGCTTGTCTTTATTTTATACTTTTGTCCTTTTATCTCTGATAATTGATTCACCTTTTTTACAGCTGCTAATTAAACCTGCCTGCATGCGTGTGTGTGTGTTGAGCTGTCACAATACAGTTATAGATGGCCCGTGTTTACGCCAGGCAGTTTACAGAAGGCTAGTCTATATGTAGAGGGGGGGGAGGGGTGTGCCCAGCCAGGGGGCTTGTTGGGGATTCAGTTGTTTATCAGGCGCCCCTCAGACAGAAAAAGGGGGGAAGTGGGGGAGTATGGAGGGGAAAGTGGGTTACAGACATCAAAAACACATGCATGTGACCTCCCACGCCCCCTGACCATGACAGCACCATCTCTCACCTCTCCTCACTTTCATACCCCCTGCCAGTAAACACACACAGTCTCTCATCCCTCCTAACTGACTTTCTAGTGATGCTAAAAAAGTATCTGGGAGTCCTCTTGTACTGTATATCCTTTCCCCCCCCC